AAGAAATAACTGGATAAATGGTATGCTGGTCATCATACTGGAATAATCAGCAGTCATGTGGGTCAAGGCGAAACGTAATCACAGCTATCGTTTGCGTCGTACACCATTGACATCCACCTAACCCATTCCCGTATGCCCACACCAGAATAGTATACTATCCCTGTTGCTCGCAGGTCACTGGTTTGCCACCGGTTTCTCAGCCGCTGCACCGAAGAAATGTGGGGCAAATTCCTTACTCAAGGAGATTCCCGATTAAGACAAAGATTGTACCTTCTCCGGCGGAATTAGAAGTCGGCCGCTTGTCATCGCAAGACTAGTATGCGCGTCACGAACGATTTTTCAGAAACTTCTTGTATAAACACAAGTAGTATGTATGGGTACATACGTCAGAGTGTGTTAATAGACGAATAAGTAATGAAAAGTTAATTTAAAGAGTTCCCGGAAATCATTCAGTCCTGCTGTTGTTACTGGGGAATTTGGGATTCTTAATCATGCATCCAAAATATAGTCTGTTGACGAACTTTGGGACAGAGACAAAAACCCTTTCAAAGAAATTGTTTCAAGGTATAAACTACTTCAAGAGTAAAACTATTTTCCTTTTACAACTGGATTTACACGGCGTACACACACCGTCTCACTGCTTCTAGTCATCTATTTGGAACATTTAAGCAGGCCACGGTTCTATGGTATTGGAGCACCTGCAGTACATGGATTCAAAACCGCATCACCCGGAAAGACTGAACAAAACCCTGTCCGAAGACCTGCCGATACGCCACTATCTGTAGGCATGTTAATACATAAAAATAAAAACTGACCTTCACGGTTTTCGATGTCGCCGTCAAGAAAAATAACATTTTTCTTTCAATACCGGATTTACACTGCCTACAGGATCTTCAGCCGCTATTTTCTCTTCGAAGAGTTAAGTACTCTGACTTTTAACGAGCATCAGTAATCTAACTAGGTTCTTCGAGTAATTACTTTCATAGTTTTCCTCGAGGTAGCAGTGTAACATTCTCTTGCATCTGTTCTTAGCCATACATTCCCACACCGTGCAGCTCATAGCTTTTTCTGGCAGTAGAGTAGCAAAACCATTTCAAGCTCAATTTTTTCTTCCAGCGTCAGCAATTTCAATAAAAAAACTGACAAAAAATATTGGACATATGGAGGGTAATCCAAGAGCTAAGAAACTGTGAGTTGATGAATTTTTGGGCAAACCTACGATATGAGACTACAGCTTACCAGTTAAACTGCGAAACTGATAATCCGTTCTAAATTAAGGTATTTGCAAAATTTATAAAGGGAAAAATGCATTTTCCACAGAATTCCTAGAGAATTTTTGTGGAACCCTCAAGTGTTACAAAAGCAACCAGCTTAATCAAATTTACTCATGGTAATTAATCCCAAAATTGTGCATTATCATGTTTACCAATCGATTCAAAACTGCAGCAGCACCCTTTCCCTATAGCATATAATATTTACTGATCTGTCAAAGATATGCAACAGCCACACAACCGATCTCCTAGATAAAGAAAATAAAAAAAATAATACCTTTCCTCTAATTCATGTGGATCAACGCCTTGTTCGATCAAAGAAACCCGCCGCACACCTTCGCTCGTTCCTTCCTCGCTTTCACTCTCGCTCAACCGCGTATAAGGAGTTTTAGGCTCCTGAAATCAGTTAACACAGTATGTTAGGAGGAGAAACCGGGCGAGGTGGCGCCACGCGGCGATGAACTTGCATCAATTTTCATAAATCCATAATCCTTGTCAGCCGGGCTCAACGTCGCAAGGATGTTCATTTCGTCGAAACGAGCTCCTTGACTTAGCGAACGCCTAAACAGTTTGATTTTAACCAGATACCTGCTACGCTGAATGAAAATTACCTGGCACCTGCCGTCTTCAAAATACCCTTCTTCGGCCTCAGCTTCAGGTTCTGAGCGGGATCGAAATTATTCTTGTCGTCGCCGTCACCCGTCCCCTTGTTGCCGTTGCTACTCTCTGAGTCGGAGACGTCCATCGTGAGACCACGTTCGACCAGTCAGCAAAGAAGAAAAATTCAATGTGCTAATGATACTGTCACCTGTATGACTGCCTCTCTGGATTACAGATCATAAATTCCTTCTAAACACACTACTTCAGAAAAACATAGGGAACCTGCAAAATGGCGCGCAAGCCCTTTGTTTACATTCGTTTTCATTAGTTTCATAGAAATAACTAAAGCCTAGTTTCATCCTCTTGCCCTCGTTCGTGAGTAGGTCACAAAGGGGCAGCTGGATGCTCCTCCAAACTACTTCCTTTTTCGAACGTTTCTTGACGAGTGGCTGTTCGACATTCATTCAAATTCCGCAATTCGTGGACTACAGTCGATGTTTGTTATTAAGTCTTTATTAAGTCTAACGGATTCAAAGATCATTAACCCTCACGAATGTGGGATGAAGTAGCTTCAATTCTCCCCCTACCAGCTGTTAATTGGATTACTCAACTCTTTTATTAACAAGTTGTACATAAAGCATGCGATTCACAGCATGGAAAATAACCCTTGTTTCAGATAGCTTATCGAGGTTTCTTCCAGCTTGGACGGCGTGTAGAAAGAATGCACACTAAAGCGATGTAAATTAATGGGTGTGGTCGAAAAGGCGTGCAATTAACCCATGTTATCGACTACTTATCAGAAATCTATACCAGTGCCAAACGTCATCTGGTGTACAAAGAAACTGCAACATGAATACACCATGGGAAAACATTTTGGTGACTTTCCCAGATTCTGACCAATAAGGTAGTCCAAAGATCTTACTTCCTTTCCATTGACTGATATTATCCATCATGAGATTGTCAAACCTCCAATTAATCTTGCCCAACAGTCTCTGCAGTAAATAAGTTTAAATTAGAATTAAATTTCTTTGCGGTTTATTTCAAATAGTAAACTCGAATTTTCGCCCGAGGTTTGAAATAAAAGTCATTTTAAATGCATAAAGAACAATATGAACTTTCGATCCAGTGAGCCAAATGTTTTGTGTCCCATGACATGTTGTCGCAGTTAAACAAAGGTTGAAGCACAGTCGCAAGAGGTTCACTTTGAACTAGATGGGTGCAGAGTTCGAATTCTGAAAAATACAATTTTTTCTAGCCGTCAAAACTATTGAAGAAAAGCCTCTCACTATTTTGCTTCAGTAGAACAAGCAGCTCAGAAATTGGTAGCCGACTGTTGACTTTTGAACATGATGGACAGCATAGTGTGTATGTGCAGTCACACCATAACGGACGAGAGATACGGACATGTTATGAAACGCGAGCGCTTCTTCATATTCCATGACCGTTTATCTTTTCGGTTCGCGGAGACAAACGTGTCAGACAGTGTTTCCTACGTTCCCGATCCTAAGGCAGAGTCTGAGCTTCGGCAGGAGACAACTAGACTCTAGAGCAGAATCCTTACACATATTTACACCGGGTTAATCAGGTCGTTTCCTTGGTCATCCGCCGGACGGCGGGGCCAGAAATAGCTGCTTCGCCTACCTTTCGCAACATATTCCCAAATCAGTATAAAGAAACCGCGGCTGTACACCAAAAATCTAGCGGATGTCTCTATTCCGGATCAAATCGAGACGGGAAAGGCCAGTGACTCATCTCAGAAAGCCCATTTTAGCTGCTTGTACCCGCTTGTAATCAAAGTTATTCAGTCAC